TAGATAGATAGATAGATAGATAGATAGATAGATAGATAGATAGATAGATATAGATAGATAGATGGATGGATAGATACATTGATAGATAGATAGATATAGATAGATAGATGGATGGATAGATGGATGGATAGATGGATACATTGATAGATGGATAGATGGATAGATGGATACTTATCAACACCAGAAAGGTATGTATCTGTAGAGTAATAAATACAGAATATATACAAATATATATATAAACATAGTTATAATACCAGAAGATACTGTCCCAAATTGGGAAATTCTTCAGGCTATCAGACATAGCAAATGAGTGACAACACATCGTAAATGTATAAATATCAACACTAGAAAGTATATATCAATCCCTATCAATAGAATACAGAATGTAAAGAAACAAGTTAGAATACACCTTAACAGGTCCCCTCTGTGCTCATTTTCACGTTCATATTAGTATTTTGCATCTCTACTGTGACATGTTTATATGCTTTAATGTTCAAAAAGGTTTTTATTTGTCTCGTGTCCTTGGGCCAGATACTCAATCCTCATTGTGTGAGTGTGTGTGAATGAGCATTAGATTAGAGGATGAGCAGCTTGGCACCTGATGAATGTGTGCAAATGTTGGCATGTCGTGTAAAAGTGCTTTCAGTGGTTGTAGGAATAGAAAAGTGCTTTAGAAATCCAGTTTTACAATTTACCTGAAGCTACTTGTGTGATCTACATTATTTATACCGATGCATCTGTGCATTAATAGAGATGTACTTAAGAGCTGGTTTAGATTGGTCCAGTCTTTCCGTGTTTCAAACCCCTTTAAAAGGATCACAAGATAGATCTGAGGCGATAGATGGGACGAGGAAATAGAACTCAATTATGTTTCAAATCTTGCCTTGTCGGTTGTCTTAGATTTTAATGAAATAAATTATACGTTGACCTCTTCTAGCCTCAATTACATGGTTTTCCGGATCTAGATTCTTCTCACAGCTCGGCGAGGACAAACAGGAAGGCAAATCGTTATCATTAGTGAGAGGAGACAAACAGGTCAATAAGGTCTATCAATAATGAAACACAGCATGTTGTTAGTCATCGGATGGAAAGTGGTGCAGGTGATGTAGAGTTAAACAGAGTGTTCATATCTTAAAGTGATATGTCAAATTAAAAGAATGAAATAACATTCAGTTTTAAAATTGCGATTGAACTGAACAACACTGTTGCAAATGAAACATTTGTACCGTTTTTTTTAAATGAATAACAATTTTCAATGAATTAAAAAGCACCATTTTAGAAGAGACGGTCCTTGTCAATATGGGAACTTATTTGATAGGCTATCCTTTTGTCGGGGTTGCCAGGGAACATCACACACAAAGGCAACCAGAAATACATGTATAACCCGTTAGAAGAAGTGACGGAAGAGAAAGGGACACACGAGGTGACACATTCAGGTTTACAGTACATTAAACACAAGTGTGACTTCCTGTTGTGCAGATCTTATAAATCCAGGATAAAGCCGCGTGCACCGTGCTTTGGATACAGACTCCATTATATACAGACCTTAAAATGAACACATCATTAGCATATATCACCGTCCTGCCCCCCACACAGAACCATCATAAAATAACCCTCCCACACCATGAACCACGATGAATTACATTACAAGCACACAGCAGACGCGTTTCCTCCAATGTGTACTGATGCTAATATGTTGGTCGTGAAATATAGGCAAGAAAGATACACACGTGTGGCGGCAGATTTAGCGTTTTTAATGTCATTTGGCACCGGTCGGTTTAAGAGAGGGAGCTCAAGGTGAAACACTTTCTCAGTTTAAATCTTGAAGAAATTAAACCTTCACAAAGGATGTAGAAAAAGAATAGAGTAGAAAAAAGAGAAAAGAGTAGAAGAGAATGAAAAGATGCTGAATTATCATTATTATTATTATTATTATTATTATTATTATTCACTGGGTGTCATTTTTCATCTCGTATTTTTATCAGGTGATCTCCTACAGACTGTCTCATATACGTTACATTATTATTTATCTATTTTCCCTTAATGGAAATACTTTAATGTTGCAATAATTGTATAAAAACTGCTAGGCGGTTAAAGTTTATTATTATTATACATATATAGTTGCCTTACATGACAATAATGTGGGAAATAGGTGTGTTAATAGATGCTTCACCGTCCTAACAATATTTAGATTATTTTCATTAGTAAATGTACTAGTTTGAACTGATGCTCAACTAAGTTTTGCAATCAAAACCTTACTTAAGGGTGAGGTAGGTAAGTTTGAGAAACCGGCTCGGGATACACTTTTTGTTATATTCCATGGAATGCTCTTAACATCCAGATAGCAATGAATATCTGAAATGATTTGACAAAAAATAGTGGCGTGTAAAAAGCCGTGGCGCTGTAAAAAGCACGACCAATCATCTGAGCCGGCCCGGCTAAAGTAACTGGATGGCCTACCTGCCTGTCAGCCTTCCATCTGTGCACAAACTTATCTCGTGCCCTCATTGGTCATGTTCGTGTGTGTTGGAGGAGGAGCTCTGTGAGGAAGTCTGAAGGAAGTGCAATAGTAAAAGTGGCAGATTTTTTTCCGGTTGTGTATTTTCAGATTCTAGCGCACTAAAGCTGGTTTCTCCAAAATTACCTACCCCAC